AGGGAACCGACTAATCCGGAATCGAGCCGGGTAGGACCACAAGGGCGGCAAAGCTCTCCCTCAAGAGTTTTAACACTGCTGCATTCCCAGGGCTCGAACTCGAGACCACTGATTAAGCTGGAAGAGACTCAAACCATCTCATCCAAGCGCTCTTGGGTTCTTTCTCACCTTTTGGTTCTTCACCAATGCTCACGTATGCATGGGCTTTAACACGTAGCATTTCTCACAAGTTGAAATTAATAATTTTAGAGATTGCCCCAACACACATCTATATCAATTATCAACATAGCAAAACAGAACAACAGTACGGGCTAACAGAAAAAATTGGTCGCCATGTTTGCTCAATGGCCAAACAAAATCTTACAAAACAAAAAAGTAGAAGAAAAAAAAAAACAACAATATAACTTTCCCTGCAGCATCTATATCAACATTCTCCAGTATGCATGCTTATTCCTTCACACATTTTTTTTTTTTTTTTTTCTTCAATAGTTTTCAGTAGTATAACAACAACGACGACATCAAACATCAATATATGACACATAAACTCAGTCTCACATGAATAAACCAAATCGAACACGAAAAAAAATAATAATAGAACAAAAATAGAAAAATGAAAATAAAGACGAAACCCTAATAGTAATCGAGCTAAAACTCGATCACGCGAACATCCCGAAACGAACCGGGATGTTCGTGCTCTTGAGCCACGCCTCCCCTTGCAAAAACGGGCCAACCGTGTACTTCGAAGCCTCCTCCTTCTTAATCATTTTATACCCGGCCCACTTCACTCTCCCGGCCGTGTCGGACCCTTTCCCCTTGTTCTCAAACTCCGCGTAGTAAAGCGTGTCGAGCGCGAACTTCCCGTCCCACTCCATCCACCCGTCCCGGTGGATAAAATCCCCGATCTCTGACTCCATCACGACCGTCCTCGAGTACTCCTTCCACGGCCGGCCCAGGTAGCTCCGGAACTGGGCCTTCTCCGCCTCGAGCCGGTCGTCTGCCAGGATCCGGCAGTTCTGGAGGACAGTTCCGGTGGTCTCGTGCCGGTCGATCCGGCCCTGAGCGGTCACCACCGTCGGCTGGCCGTCGAGCGGGCGGCGGACGTAGATCATGCAGTTTTGGAAGACGGCGGCCGCGTCTCCGAAGATGAAGTCGACTGTTCCGGTTATGTAGCAGCTCCGGTAGAACTGTCGGTGGGTCTGGGCGTAGAGCGTGTCCTGGTAGCCCTCCATGCGGCAGTTCAGGAAGATCGAGCGGTCGGCCTGGACTCGGAGGGCAACCGCCTGGTGCTTCTCTGGGCCAGCCGTGTTGCGGAAACCGAGGGACTGCGCGAAGAAGCCGTCTCCCAGCACGGCTACGTGGGAAAAAATGAAATGCCCGTTATAATATAAATCTCTCTATTCTTATTCTAGAGTGGTTGATTGACCCACCTAACAATTAGTCTGCCGGTGTGTCTGTTTGTAGTACTTCAAGAAAATATGTTGGTTGTATTGAAAGATAATTTGGGCTGAGCCAAACTCGGCTTGCTAACTAAATGAGCTAGTAATCGAGGAGTTTGAGCTCGACTTTGTTCCCTAAACATCTGAATAATTGAAGAGTATACAAAATTTCTGTTTATGAGCTTTAATGAGTCGAGCTAAGCTCGCAGCTCATTAACTATACAAGCTCGAATCTTAACCGTAACAAGCTCTAGGTGTAAATTAAGTTCATAAAAATCAAGGATATATATTTTTCTTTCGATGCTATTACTTACCGAATGTGGCCGTCTGATAAGTCGGTGTTCCATCTACAAAATTTTTGCTCCCGGTGACGATGCTCTTCTGCGACCCGTCGCCATACATCGTAACGTTAACCATCTTCTTGGTGACGATCACGGTCTCGTCATACACGCCTTCCTTGATGTAAATCACGTACCTAACAAAAATCCCGCAAAGTCCCGTAACTGACAAAAATATAATTACACAAGAAAATAAAAAACACACACACACCCGGACCTTCCGTCGTATTTCTCAGGAATCGCGCCAAGAGCAGCATTAATCGTCGAGAAATTCCCGCTCCCGTCCTTGGCCACGGTCACATTCGGAGTAAACTTCGTCCCGTCGGCCTTCAACATCCTATGGTGCTCGTCACCCATCCACTCGGCGTACCCGACCTGATCGACCTCCATAAGCTTCCTATGAGTCGGCGCGTGCATTGCCGAGAATAACGAATTAACCTCCGACACGATCGCCAACGCGTTACTCCCGAGCTCTCTAACCGTCTTCATCAGCTTCTGCATCGAATCCTTCTCGGGCCCGTTTGGAAACCCGTCCACGCACGTCTGCTGGTACGACAAAACTGCGCTCAGCCAGTTGTTGATCTCGGGCTTCAACGTCGACACGTGGCTCAAATCCTTCCCCTTCACGCTAACCATCGAACGGTTCAGATCCTCCTTAGCGTCCTCAAGGAGGACGAGGCAGTCCTCGAAGGCGGCCTTTTTAAATGGGTCTTCGAACTTGAGGCCCTTGGCCTGGTTCACGGCCCGGTCGATCTCGTCTGAGGCGGCCGAGAAGGCAGCCCGGAGGATGTCGACAGGCTGGGCCTTGGCGTTGTGCTCGACTGCCTTGGACAGGCTGTCCTCGCACGTTTTCTTGTAGTCGGTGGAGGAGCAGACGGTCTTGACGGCCTTGAGGGCCACGTTGGGATCGGGCTTGGGCGGGGTTGGGCTATGCTTGGAGTGGTCGTGGGCCGGGCTCGACTCGGATTGGTTGTGCTGGTAAACGACGGCGCAGACTGCGGCGGCGGAAATGAGGAGGACGGCCACGGTGGAGACTACGCCGATCATTATGCGGCGGCGGATTTTGTTCCGGCGCTCCTGCTGGCGGCGTTGGGAGATGAGGTCGAAATCTTGGAAAGCCATTTTTAATTTTTGTTTGTATAGATTTATTTTTTTTTTATTTTGATTTTTGTTTTTGGGTTCACTGCCTTGGCTGGTGGGGATGGCTTAAGGAAGCCAAGGCAGGAAAGGGGGGGAGTTTTTGATTGTTTAGTTGGTGTGGCTTTGTGATATTGCTATGTGTTTGTATATTTATTGGTTGTTAGTTGTTTTGTGGGTGTGATTAAGTGGCGTTTGTAGTTTCATAGTATTGTTTTTAAGATAATTGAGGTATGGAGTGGAGGGATTTTAGGGCGTTTTGCTGTGTTTTGTGTCCGAATTTCAAGCTTCTGTCTGTTTTGTTTTTCTTTTTGGGGACACCTATTTTTGCTCAGGTGGTATTTTGAGGTGTTGGTTGACAATCAGTTTTATGCCAATATGTGAAGACTATTGTTAGAACCGTTTCAACGATTTAGATAATTTCACACAAGAAATTTGGAAAATTACCAAAAAGCATTGAGATCAGATTCTAACGGTCCCCATTACGAAATCATTCTGTCAGAGTTTGTGACCGCTATATCAATTATCCACGACGGTTACATGATGATCTAATAGTTAAAAATCCCGACGCAATGGTTTCGTAACGAGGCTGTAGCATTTCCAAAAAAGGATTACCAAAATACATGGTATCTTGAAGACATTACCAAAAGCCATGAGTGTATTATTAGTAAATCTATTGATATATAAATGGACAATGATATTTACTTGAAATAGCAACTAAAAAATCAGTAAAAAAAAATAGTGAAAATATCTATTTTCATCCTGTTTTGAAGTCTTGATAAGTTTTTCACATCGCCCAATAAAAAGCTAAGTTTTTCACCTCAGAAAGTGCGAAGGTTATGCGAAAATTGTCGCATATTCATCGCATAACTGTCTATATGTGAAGGATATGCGAAAAACTGTCGCATAACTGTCGCATATCAATTGCATAATTGTGCAAAAGCATTGTGCGATAAATATGCGACAGTTATGCAACAGTTATGCGAAAAACTGTCGCATAACTGTCGCATATCAATTGCATAATTGTGCGAAAGCATTGTGCGATGAATATGCGACAGTTATGCAATTGATATGCGACAGTTTTTCGCATAACCTTCGCATATGGACAGTTATGCGATGAATATGCGACAGTTTTCGCATAACCTTCGCACTTTCTGGGGTGAAAAACTTAGCTTTTTATTGGGCGGTGTGAAAAACTTAATGTGTCTTTGTTATGAGGTGAAAAAGATTTTTTCCCAAAAAAAATATTTGGTTCCCGCCTAAGTTATTTACTATATTGAGTAATATTTTTTGTCAAAATTTGAAATATCCCACCAAAATTAATTTAATTAATATACATAATTATCTTGGTCAAATATTGCGGCTATTATTTTTATTAGTTGCATGAATAAATTTGAAATATTATATATTGACAAAACTTGCAGCTATTACTTTTATTAGTTGCATGGTTTTTTTTTCGAAACGATAGAGATAAATATAAATAAAAACACATAGTTTGAGTACAAATAAACTCCAACAAACTAAAACCTGAGAGGACACGCAACCATGCGGCCTAGAACCTCAACAACAAACTAACCAAACTAAGAAGAAAAAAACCTTCCAATGCAAGAAGCCTAGAGGGTCACATAAGACCAAAAAAACAAGCTACAAAATCTACTAACAAGAAAACAAGCCAAAATCAAAGAAACAAACAAACTCCCCAAAGGGCCCAGACAGACAATAAAACAACAAAGCTACACTAGAGAGAAATCCAGCCATTCTTTGTGGGCAATCTTGATGAGCACCTGGGGTGGCAGTGAGATGTTTTGGAAGATCCAGAGATTGTGTGACTTCCACAGCCACCATAGGATATAAGTCGATAGTTGGATTCTATCTACAGCTGTTTCAGACTTGCCAATAGAGGAAGCATGATCCCACCAGCTTCTGAGTGAGGAAGTATAAGCCTGCAAGCCATCCAGGTGACAGGGGATAAGTCCCATATTCTTGTTGCCTTAGGACATTGAAAAAGAATATGCTCAATGGTCTTTGGGGCTTGACCACAACAGTCACATATGACATCAACAGAGAGACCCCTCTTTCTCAGGTGCACTTTGACAGCTAAAGAACCAGTTAAACACTTCCAGATGAAGTGTTTGATTTTACCAACAACCTTAAGTTTCCAGCAATTATCAAAGAGAGAGGTAGAAGAACCAGATGAGTTCACTACAAGAAAATAGAGTTCTAGTGAAAAAAAATTGTCACTATGTTATCACTATATCTACTGTCACTATATCTACAACAATTGTAGATATAGTGGCAACAATTGTAGATATAGTGACAAAATTTTTTTTCACTAGAATTCTATTTTTTTGTAGTGGTTGTTGTTGCATGGAATTTCCAAAGCTAAGACTTTTTGAGAAGAGAAATGCATAAGTGTTGGGAAAAAAAAAAAAAA